GGAAAAGAGGGAAAATAAATACCATTTAGATTAGAAGATGGGTAGTTAAGAAAATCAGAAAATTAAAGTTTGTTAAAAATACTGTAAACCAAAGACTAAAGCAAACTAGCTCTACAATACTAATATACTAGAACACTTTTTGGTTTCCATCCTTACACAGTGTTAGAGCTTCTGGCAAAAATCACCCTGCTGGACCGCCTTGAGGAAGAGGTCAGATACCATGAACCACAAAAATGGGTCAGAATCATCAATTCTGACTTCTCAGAAATTCTATTTAAGCTGCAGTGCCAGTCAGCAGATACGTGGCTGTTTCCATGCCTCTCTCATTTACTTCATAAAAGCAGATTAATCCCCCAGATTTGACTTCCTACGATGAGAACTATGCATGAGGAAAGCAGTTGACAAGCACCATGACACAGAAGAAGAGGAAGTATAAATGTAGTGAGATTCAACACAAGCAGCAAATCCGGAAAGAATTGAAACAGTAAACAAAGTAGAATTCAATTTTCAATTCACTATTTTATTACTCTGGGAGAAGTCAGTGTTACAAAACTCTCTCTTATAACACTCTTCCACATCTGGGCACCTGAAGCACCAATGAAGTTACTTAACCTGCATCCAGATAGAAGTGCCACAAAAGCATTCACTCAATGGGCTCCTATCATTTAACAATACCAAATGCCTTAGCATTTATTCTACACTTGCAAAAAGGAGGAGAAAATCTATTCTGGACATGAGGATATATGTTCAAGCAGAGGGTGAACATGCCCTGAAAACATAAGCACAGGGGAGCAAAAGCAAGGAAGCAAAAAGATGATAAAAAAAGCTGACGAAGCAAAGCAAAAAATCCGGTGACCCTGCAAGTCTGTGAAGCCTCTGAAACATCAGGCTCTTTGCTTTGATCCCATCTTCTGCCAATAAATCAAAAAAGCCCAAGAACCCACTTGCAGATTTAGCGAGTTTCAGGGCCTATGGAAAAGTCAAATCAACTTGTGGTGTTCTGCTTCTTGCATAATGATAAAAGCACAGCTACCCTACGTGGCTTCAAGCACAGCACAAAATGGCAGTGCCTGCAGTCTCCGAGCCGCTCCTTAGCCAGACAACATGAAAGCCAGAACAACTCATGCCAAAGACAGTTAATATGATCATATTGCATTACAGTCACTGTAGTGATATTGGGCAAATGTTATGTTGCATGAGGCTATACAATAATTGGGCAGTAATCAGTAAAAACATTAAGTCCCTGTTTTACTACTGCTTCATCGCCAGCTATAAAGCAACATCCTAATAAAGAGCATAAAACTAAAAGGAACTGAGATTAACAAGGCGTGTTATGGCAGTTTAGAAGTAAAAGTCACTTTAGCAATATAAAATTGAACAATACTATTTAAAAGAATGAGCACAGAAGATTTACTATTCCTTATTAAAAAAAAGCAGCTATTCAGAGGGCCTGGCCTAGTTACCATGGTGTGTATGTCAAACTGGTAAGCAAAGCACAGCGCATCAATGCTCACCAGAAAAGCACTATATACATTGGACAGCTGACTATAGCACTATCAGTCCCTAATTAGATGACCTTGCATGGACAATCCTAACCACGGAGAGGAAGAAAGAGAGAGAGAGAAACATTAGAAAAAAAGTTTTGGCCAATATTCAGACATGGATTTTGACTGTACAAGTAGGTATATTTATGGCAGAGTCCACGAATGATCAGACAAGCCATTAGAGAATTAAAGCGACTCCCTCCAAGTTGGTTTTATCAGGCTCTGAATATATCACCTCATTTTCAGTAGGGTTCTGGTATCATGTGCAGTTAACGTATAATTATTACAGAACTGTGATTGCATCGTTAGCAGAAGTTTAATTATATCATTGACATTAGTGATGCCATAACATCAAGCTCAATAATAGTTCACAACAAAACCTACAATTAGCACAATTTTTCCTCCCATTTACACCAACCAAAAGTGTTCAGCTTGGAGAAGACTAATAGTCCATACAGAAGTGAGCTAGGGCTGAACCTGAAAGGACTGCTGGCTGGTAATTTAGTAATATGGTAATTAAAGTCTTTTCATGATGTAATTACACATCAACTACAAAAGGACAGCTGCTATACAACACTGCCAGGGTACATGGCATGAAATGATTAGATTTGAGAGGCTTTGGTGGTTAAACTGAATACCACAGACATAAGTTTGAGGTATAGCTGGCACCGCATAGCACATTATTATTCAAGTCTCACACTTGGCGTTTCCTTAGTCTCATTGTGATAGTAACAGTTTGTTGAACGTACCTTGGTCTTGCAACAGCAGAAGCTGTTCAAAACCCACCTTTAAAAGCTTTTGCTGTTTTAAAGTCACCTGGAATTAAAAGACCTAACTTTCTTCTGGGCAATGAGGTTTCTGTGAACCCAAAATGTTTATTTCCCACCTCTGCAGCACGAAACCTCCTCTCAGAGAGTCCCGTCTGTGGGAGATGCAGCTTGATTTATTTATAGGCTTTTTCCAGTGGGGGAGCAGAGAGGGGAGGAGGAGAGTGCGGGCAGAGAAGAGGCACAAATGAGTAGGTGAACTCAAAAAAACCTAAAGCTCGACTGGAGAACTGAGCGTTTCGGCACCTATTTCCAACAGCAACAAGCACAAGTCCCCTGTTTGCGTGAAAAAACAAACCCCACCCTTCTTCTCAAGACCAGACAAACATTTTTTAAAATAGTTTCCTTATTGCATTTCTCACCACCCTCATTTGTATCTGTACAAACCACGAAGTTGACCATGCAAAGCATGAGACAGAAAAAAGGAACATATTTTTCCAACTAACATGAATAAAACTTCTTGGCTACGTGACTGGGCTCTTAAAAATCCAGGAATGCACTGTGCACCCTGGCAGTAGGCGGACAACCTCAGAGCTGCTTTTCTAGTCCTAAAATGTCCTTTTAGTGATGAGGAGCAACTTAGATGTTTTGCAATAGCTGTTTTTCTCCCTTTCTGAAACATGGGAAGTGGGGATTTGGTGGGAGAGAGGCCCAGATAATCTGATCTTCTACAATTTAAAACTTTTATTTTCTTGAGCTATGAAAATCTAGTAATGAGATTATTTGAAAGTGGAAGATTTTGGGAATCCAGAGAATTCTCCTCAGCATGAGGAAGGTTTCTGTGAGGTCCATTTGGAAAGTGCAAACCCAAACTATTTTGGATCTGGAGGGACCCTGTTACCTACAAGATGTGAGGAATGAGTAGAAAAATTTGAATCCTGGTTCAAACAAGACCCAGCCTTGCCGATAGCTTCCCTTCTAATTCCTGCTCTTCCTGTTTTTCTGAAGAGATGTTTTTGATGGGCTTGATGAACATTCAAAGCATCTTGAAGACTTGGTGGCTTTAACTACAGCGGATGCTTGGCTTAATTAAGACTACCAACGCGTTTCTTCCTGTTGGGTGTCAGAGGCTGCAATGGAGCTGAGGCTGCTCTCGGGAAGCAGAGGAGGAATCCTGGGGGAACTGGAAGCAGCCAGTCATTTAAGAACAAAGATCTTAACTACTCAGAAGTAAGTCCTGCATGGCCAGTTTTACACAGCACACTTTTAAGAGACAATAAAGCAATTTAGCTAACCCAATGGAAGACATTCAACTGTACTTCAAGTCCAATAGCACAAGAAAACATGATTATTTCTAATTTAATGGCAAAAGAGCTAAAATTTAGAGCAGCTAGTGGTTCTGTTGACTAGATAGGTGGTCTACTCCAACACGTTTGCAGCTACCCTCTGTGAGGACTCATTTGACATTTGATGCGAAAAAGATACATGTATGTCACTTGTCAAGAGGAACTGGGTGAGCAATGTGCAATATAAACAGCAAATTCAGCATATTAAGAACAGTCATCAACATGAAAAGAATAGGAACTTTACGCATAAAGGACTTATCTGAATCCTACACAGTTTAAAGCAGCAAGAGGCAATAAAAATGTTAGGTTTAAACTACAAAACACTTTGCAGTTGAGTGCTGTCTCCGTAAATACATTGTGCACACACTGTACAAACGTGAACTGTGTGCACACAAACCTCCAACACAAATGCATAACCGTAGCAGTGTTCACCTAAAGACAACGTGGTTCAGTACCTTTGCAGACTAATTTCTCGGCTGCTAAGAGAACACAACAACAGTCTGTATCATGCAGGGAACTATTCTCCCTGGTCAGTTTATGCAGAGCACTGCCAAAAGAAACATGTGAAGGTCTAAAGTCTTGCAAGACTAGCCTCATTATCTCTTTCTAATGGTGTTATGGGCACAGAGTGAGAGAGAGGAAAAGAATGCAACTGTGAGATTTCCAGGATGCTCCTAGCTTTAGCTAAATCAGAAGATAAAGAAAAAGCTTCTCATCACAAGTCTTCAAGCATCCATCTTCTAAATATAACAAAGCAACAACTCTTGAACAACAGCATTCACTTCCGAGAAATGGACAAGCACACAACCTAGAACAGGACACAATTAAAATCCAAACCTGTGATAGCCCCTCTCCGTTCCCTCCTCCCTGTTGCAGGAGTAGCAGTTATTTGCTCACAGATGATTACCTTCAACCATATCAAAATCTGAGAGCCAGGTGGCTGTCCAAGACTAAGGCTGACAACAGGAGCCACAGGACTTCCTACTGAACCAGTCCAGCCCTACCAGCTGTTCCAGATGCAGTCACCCTGTCAATGTTCAACACACAATTCTACTACACACCCAATCTCTCTTCTGTTTCAATGGCTTTTTAGCATCTTTCCACTTCTCTGCAACCATCAAGTCATTCAGAAACTGCTGCAGAGACAGAAGTGTCATCAACCTCCCTGACTGCATCCACCACTCAACTAGATACTGGAAGCCTATCACTGCATTAATTTCTGGGATGATAGTTAAAGAAACAGAATCCTCTTGTGATACTGTTTGCAACTAAGGAACTCGGTAACACCAGATCTGGGGAGTCTGGGGTGAAGGAATAGTTGGGGAGACACCACACTTACTCACCTGCTATCACCAGCGTTTGCCACATAAAGCTTCCCCAGTAAATACACCACCACAAGGGCTGTGCAGCCGCCAGAAATATTATACACGGTCCTCTCTCGTTCTATTTGCAAATCCTATGGGAAGAGAGAAAAAGATCTATAAAGACAACATTGCAATTAATGTTTTAGAAAATGAAGATTCCACTAAAAAAAACAATAGAGTCTTTCTTAAACTGCATGTCCCACTGGCTTTCTTTACTGTTGCAGCTATGGCCACATGGTCAGGGAGAAGAACGGGAAGTATTACTTATGATACAAAGATGTTTGGGAAAAATCAGGACAGGAGATTGTAAAACATCAGGCATGAAGGAATAAATTGCAACTCTGAGGGATGCAAGGGAATTTGCTATGGAAAAAAGCACAATGAAGGCAAAGATAAATGTAGCTTCACAACAGGTACCTGGTGGTATAATTGGAGAGTGCTTTACATAGACAGCAAATAATTAATGAGACCTAGCTACGACATGACTAACTACCTGCTCTCAAAAAGGGACGCTAGGATTGCAGAGCATATACCTTTACAAACAGCAGCACAACACACTCATGCCAGAGGGCTACCCTTCAGAAACACAGGGAATGGGAGCATTCACAGACTTTCCAGGATGAACCACATGAATCTCATCTCACTGCTTTTACGAGGTCCTGAAAAGACTTAATTTTTATGCATGTGCACAGGCCCAAATTTAAGGAGCTACATACCAACTCAAATAGTTCTTCCTCTGTTTAGCTTCCAGCTGATTCTGAGTGTAAGAAATAATACATGTAAAAAAGCCCTCCTGCTTAATAGAAGTGGAGAACACAAGTCACATCTGACACCAACAATCAATCAAGCCCATGAATGAAAAAATACATACATACATACATATATGTCCCAGGAAAGCTTGAACAACATAAAAGATAAGTAAATGAGCTATTTTCCGGTACTCCAAAGATTTTAAACAAAAATTGAAGTATACGCCAATGAATTCATTCTGCCTCTTAGTTTAGTTTGGGGTAATAACACAGCATGTTACAAATTACCCTCCTCTCCTGTGTCCAGAATCAAATCCAATTTCAAACTGGTCTTTCCTTGTAATACTGGATTCAAACAGGGAGCATCATTTAACATTGCTATTGCAAGTACTGGCAGATCTTTTCAGCTAAACCCTGTCTACTTGTATGTGTTTTTTTATTATGAATATATTTGTTTGCTTCTGTGTGTGTGCATACACACACAGAGCTATACTTCAGCCATTTTCATATTTGCACTGAGCAACAAACAGCTCAAATTGTCCATGCCTTGGGGGTATGGGATTTAGAGCTTTATTTTAGAGCTAAATTTATCTGAGAAAAAGCACCACAACAAATGCAAACCATGACAGCTGCAATTTGATTGAAAATCTGCAGAGTTGGAGGAGGCCAGGGACCATGCTTTGTTTCCTACAAATTTCAGGAGAGGGAGGTGACCTGGGACAGTGGTGGGGATGCTCAGTAGCGCTCAGCCACTGTCCTGAGCAGGCTGGGCAGAGGTGTCTGTCACAAATAATCTGAAAATCCTCGCTGGCCGGCATACATACCGATCCCATTTGTGCCACGAATACAGTACTGAGGCGGGTGGTGTGGCGGGGACAGCAAGAAAGGCGCAGCGCTGCCCGACAAGGCCATCCTCTGCTGCACACGGGAACTGCACGCTGCTGCTGGAGAGACTCGGGGTTTTACTGCTGGCTCTGAGCCCGTGCTCTCATCGACTTGTGGTTCTCCTTTTTCTTCCTTTCCCTTTTTTTTTTTTTTGGGGGGGGGGGGGGGGGGGGGGGGGGGGAGGGGGGTGGGGGGGTGGAGAGGTGAGGACCAGGAGGAAAACACCTCCAAGCTGAAAACCAAATCTCGCAGAACCTTTGGTCACAGACATGGGCCTGTTACAAATGCCACTTTATCTAATCTTACCATAGAGAAGCTGATTTTCCTCCCCATGGTTTCTATATATTTTTAAATTAAGCTGAAAAGAACAGTTCAAAGGAAGCAGACATTTCTAACCATCAAAATAATTTAAAGTTACAAATACTACAGTGGATTTTCCAGGCACTGCCAGGAATTTAAAAAAACCTTCGTCTCCGCAGTTCAGAGTATCCTCTGAGACCTTCAAACAATGTACCATTCCTCACCTGGTTTCAGCTCTGTCATACATACACTTTGCAAGTGCTGGAATGCCTAAATTAAAATTTATTTCTTTCAATAAGCAGAATTCAGAAGCATGTATTATAGGACAGAACACAGATAATCCTTAGGGCCTCATTTTCAGAGTTTCCTTGACTTAAACTATATCTGCGTACTGGATTTTTTTCGAATCATTGCTGTTCATGGGCTTTTCCATCTAGTTGTAGTTCAGAACTTGAATTTACTGTCATGACTTGCCAGAGTATATTCAGTGCCATGTTTAATTTGATATTACATACTTTGTTTGACATTTCCTTTTCTGGGGTGAAGGAGGGAGGGGAAGGCTTTCTTATAGCTCAACAAGATTTGAGAGGGAAAAAATAAAATAAAACTAAAAATGAATTAGTTGCCACTAACTCATTCTGATGTAGAGATGCTGGCTTTTAATGGAATACTTTATAACAGTGCTGCTGGAAAAGTCATGCAGCACAAACAGGAGCAGAAAACCCAAAATACCTCTGAAGCCTTTATAGGTATAAAGGGGCTCATTTTAGACAGTCTGAATGTATACAAAGCTTTCCTCATTTTCCACCTGGAGAAAGATTTCAGAGCAAGATTTTTTGTTTCCCCCTTTCCTTTTTTCCTCCTTTTTTCTGTAGCAAGCAGCTCATCCCCACACAGCAATCTGCGTGCAGGGGAAGAGCTGAGCAAGGCTGGGCAGACTCAAACGATGCACCTTTCAGCCCAAAGGGCAGCGTGTGCCACTCACTCAGACCCTGACAGAAAAAAAAAAAAGAAAAAAAAAGGATTTCTGTATCCTCTGTTCAAAAGCTATTGTTTCATGCCAAGGAAGCAGCTAGTTTAGTCTGTGCGCTGCCCCCCTTTTTAGGACGCATGTTGGAGTGGCAGGTAGGAGCAGGGTGCCCAAAAAGGTTGCCCCACGCCTGGTCACCCCGGTCCCCCTTCCCTGGGGGTGACGGAGCACAGGGAGGATGGAGCAAAGCCTGCAGAGGACACCACGAAGTGCCACAGAGTACTTTTCCAGAACGGGTGACAGAGAGCAGGGATCGCTTTCTCCATTGATTACAGAAGCAGCCCGAGGACAGTGCATCAGCCCTGGGACAGACCACTCCCGCCATCCTGACTGCCTGCCTCGCTAAGGCTCAGACCTGGGTTTCCCAGAGCAAAAAGCACGAGTTAATCACACTACATAACGATCTCTTCTGAAAAAGGAGGAAGATTATGCCACGAAGCCATTACCATCCTCTCTGTCGGAGGCTCCCGGACCCCCGACGGCGGCTTGCTCGTGCCACCTCGTGGAGACCCTGCGGAGGGGCTCGGGCACCTCGCCGGGCCGCAGAGCGTGGCGTGGGCTGGCGGCTCTCGGGGCGCAGTGGGGCCCCGGCTTTTCCTTCCACCTGCCTTGACCCACGCGTGTCGGGCACACGAAGCGCACCAGGACACTCGCCACCGGCCGCCTCAGCGAGGAGGGCTCGTGTGCACAGGCCACCAGCGCACAGCCGATCCATGCGCTGCAGAGGCAGCGGAGACAGCATGAAAGCAGCAGCAAGCGTGGCGGCACAGAAAGTGAGTGCCAGCCATACCCGATGCTAAGGTTTAGACATTTAGGACCTTGAAAACAGAGCTAGGTACCTTCAAATTGCAGTATCATCATTACAAGAAGTTAGCATACTGCAACAACAACTACAATAACTATTTTTCATCTATGTCCATTCTCAGAGTAGGGGCCTTTCCTCCAGGATCTCAATCTTGCTATGACAGAAAGCAGCTTTACTCCCTATGCACACAGTATCAGGCATCTGCTTAAAGAAAAAAAAAAAAAAAAAAAAAAA